AAAATGGCTAAAGTTTGTTTGACTACAAATTTTAAAGATTCTGCTCCTGTTTACTCAATTATTGATTAAGATATTTTATTTCTGTAAAACACAATGGATTTTTTAATACAATTTCTACTAATGTACCTTTTTGAAAATTTAAAATTGATCCATAAATAGCTAAAAACAGATGATATCATACTCATCACAATTTTAACGCGTTGTAGTTTTTTTGACAACAAAATTTAAAAAAACGGAAAAGTTGTCTGGGTAGGGTTTTTTACGCTCATTTCAACAGTGTGAAGCTTATTACAATCGGACGTATACTTTTCGCAAAAACTTGGGCAGAAGTTTATATGTATTTCCCTATTCTGGAATATGCTTTAACTCACCCTTAAAGCGATGAAGAGCTTATGTATATATATTATGGATACCTTGTTTCTTAACAAATTCTGTGCTAAATTCGTTTTAGATTTTAACTCCCGACTGGGTTAATATTCTCTTTGTGGGGACAAACCAGGGATAATAATCCCAGCAGGTCAGGTAAACGGTTCGTAGAGAAAAACAAAACAATATTCTTGAGTATTTGGGTTAAAAGTAATTGCATAAAGTAATTGTAAAAGTAATTGAATTACTCAAAAAAAGTAATTCATTGGAATTACTCATAACATTTCTTGAAAAGTAATGCATTACAATTACTGATTACTTAAAAAGGTATTGAATTACTGACGTGGGTGACGTCCTTTCCAAAATTTACAATAATAAATTTGTTTTTAGTTGTATAAAATAAGATATTTCTGCATTTATGGTGTATGAATCCGTGATGAGTTTTCACCCTAAACATCCGGATTTTTGGAAAAAAAATCAGAATTGTTAAAAATGTTTCCAAAATGCTGGATGTTTCATTGTACTTCACGGACGAGGGAAGTTCTGTCGAAACAACCTTTAATCATTTTCGTATTCTCCAACTATAGTATTACGTCGGAGACTGTCATATTACTGTATCAAAATTTAAAACAATAGGATTAGGAAAAAGAATTTAAACGTTTTTAAATACAAGCTGATTTATCGAAGAGTACGAGCACAGTAGAGATAACAATCAGAAGAGACAGCTCGCCGTTTTTCGTGACCCGTTTTCGTGGGTGGTCGTTCGCATTATGACCGAATGAGTGCGCCCAACTGACGTCTAAAATATTTGAAATTTGGCAGTTTTGTTACAATATTTTTGCCGGTTTTGCTTGTTTAAGACTGCTTTTCCGGTAGAATTGTACAAATAGTGTAAAAATGTAATTTTCACAATAAAAGGTAAAATCTTTGTCCGATGAATTTTCATACAGGATCCCTGTTGTGCGCCTTATTCTCTCCATCGTGTTTGGAATTCTTGGAAAAGATAGTAAACATAACACACTTTTTGTTTAAAAAGTCGTCGCAAACGGACAACAACGGTGGTTATGAAATAAATAACAAAAATTTATTATATATGATTCCGTTGTTGTGGTAAAATTAAATATAAAAATAATAAGAAACAAACTACACGTAACAAAAAATTATATAAGCAGACCTTCTCTCAATAAACAATTTTTTTATTTATCATGTATATATACAGAGTCATCAAAATTGATTGAGAGAGTTGGTACTCCCTGTTTTTACCGTGAAGTTTGTCAACCTTATGGCAGATTTGTTTAAGGTTATGTGGCAGTGAATTCAGTGGCGTGAGGAGAGAACTCACCTGAATCAGTTGCGGATACGAAAGTTACCTTCTTACAAAGTTGCGAACGATTTTAACGTTTGTACGAATCGTCTTGATCGATGCGCACCCTATATCTTATTGCTACTCGCATATTAGGAAACGCAATCTAACAACTCTAAAATTCGAGACTTCAAATCTGACAACTAATATTTTTTACCAAACAAAAATCGAAAAAAGACGCCACTGAGTTTTGAAATTTGAAACTTCAAATCTAACAGCTAATATTTTTATACAACTTAATAAACCAAATTATTCAAGTTCAGGTTTACCAACTCTCTCAATCAATTTTGATGACCCTGTATATATTTTGACCTACACAATCTTGAGTTTTATTTTGAAACGTTGCTTAACCCATAAGCAGTCGCGCGTGGATAAAAATGACCCAAGCCGTACATTTTGTCAAATATCCTTTTTCGCTTAATCCCTATGGACTTCCGGTTTCATGAATTCCTTAATTATTCTTACCTGCGTCGACCCATACCAATTACCTGCACTTTATGTGAGCCGACAAATATGCATTTTTTTTGTAATAATTTTTTTTAAATAAAAATTTTACTTTATATGATATTACGCTTATGGGTTAAGTTGTTAGGTAAAATGGGTTTGATTATATATTTATTAACAAGACGCCTTTGCCAAGACGCACTAGAAAACTGTTTTGGATGGATTAGGAAACGAAATGGAAATTCTATTAACCCCACATCTAATCAATTTCAAATGGCTTTTAGAAAATTAATCATACAAGATTATTTTGATGAAACGAACACAGGTAATCAAAACTGCGAGCCTGATAATGGAAGAAATTTTAAAGTTAAATGTAGGTCGTCGTTTTGATGAAGAAGAATCAGTCACCACGATGCAGAAGACCACCTTAAAAGATTGTGATTATCACTTTCACACAGCTGAACAAAACGCAATTAGATATATCTGTGGCTACCTAATTCGGAATGTTTATTAGTACACAGTTGTAGTGAATGTGAAAAATATGCAAATGAACATAAAAGTTTAGACAACAGAAGCATATATTCACATTTCAGAGCCTACCAAACGAAGAATTGCGAGTTATTTGGTAAATTATATATGCCAAACGATAATTTCTTTTTTTTACATTTGTGAATTAGAGCAAATTTTTAGTGAAAATTTTGAAAATATAATTTTACAAACAACTACTTTGTTGAAATTTTTAAATTTATATAAGCAAGCTACATTTGTTCATCCATGCCAAAACTTTCCATACGATTATTTGCTTGCTTTGTATGCTAGGATGAGATTATTTTATGCACTAAAATTTGTAAATGCTAGCTTTAAATTTACAAATGCCAAAGGTGAAAAAATTAATAGAAAGAAAATAATTTGGCAGCATTAACTTTTTTCCTTTTTGTAATTTAATTTTTATTTTATTTATTTTTTCTTAAATAAACGTCTTTCTTTTTAGATGAATTTATTACATTATTTTTACAATGATAATTAAACCTCAAGTATTCGGGGAAAGAATGTGCGAATTGTCAAATTGTGTAAGTAATAAAATAAAAACTGTAACAAATCATCGTGTTTATAAATTAAATATCGACTTTTCTTTTTTCTTATTGCGATTCACGAATATACGATTTGAGCAAACTACACAGTTTGCAATAAATTGCGTACACGAATCAATTTTTGAAATTGTAAATGAAGTGATACTTTTTAAATTGGGTGGCGACATCTAGGAATAGTTTAGGCAACGACCACCCATGACGGCTTAAAATTCGGGTCAGAAAGAACAAAGGCGCCGACACGAGCTGTCTCTACTGATTGTTATCTCTACTGTGGTACAAGCCCGATGAAGGTTAAATGCAACACAACATACATCGGTAGTCAATCACAGGATGCTACGAAAAGATAAAAGTACCTTAAAATATATGAGTTAACCTTCTAATATAACTTAAGATTCTCGACGAATCGTTATTATAAATATTACTACGCCTATTTTCTTCGAATATTTTTATGTTGGTACATTTATGTATAATTCGATCCTCACCTTCATAACTTCCAAGGTTATAATGCAATAAATATTCATACATATAAATATGAATAAATATTATGATTTGATACACTTATAGACTATGAATAATGGAGTGTGTTTAAGAAGTTTAAGAATATGTAGGCTCGTAGGAAGGTGTGGAACACTAAACGTATCAGTCACTGATACAAATAAACGTCCGTAATTAGAAAATGAAGTCATCAGTCAAATTGAGTTAAACTTATAAATAAACAAGACAAGTGCTTAATTTGTTATGAAAGTTAAATAATAGTGACGTAGAAAATATTTCTTCCGATTTTTCGATACTAATTTAAAAAATAATAATTTTAGTGTGGCTTTGATAGTTGAATAGTTTAAATTAAAATAGTTTTTGGGAATATTACCTATGTTGACATTATGTTGCCAGATCTAGGCAATTCTAACATAATTTGAAAATTAACCGTTCTGAGTTTATTGTAACAAAATGAAACTTTAAAATCTTGTACTGAGCATTAAAAATGCAATCAAAAAACCACCATAGATCGCTGAAGATTTGTCAATGATACAATTTTCGTCTTGTCAGAGTCAGATTACCACTACTACCATCAGTTTGAAAGTTTAAAAATGCAACGATCAAAGACAAACTTTTAAAATTCATGACCGTCATTGATCGTGTTTTAATTGTCTCTTGGTATAATCAAAGTTGTTTAAGTGGATGAAAGGTCTAGATAAGAAGTAATTTTGCTAGGGTTAAACAAATTATTCTTGCTACTCGTCATCGTCCCTCCACCGAGCAGAGAAGTTTTGTTTGTTGCCTAAATTCGGTAACTCGCTGCAAGTGATATTTTTAAATTTTCCGTGGTAAATGGTACCATGTGAACACCAGAACACCGTTTATTAAACTGAACAAATACCCAGTGCCGTTTATGTCTTTACTGACTTTGATATTTTGTCTATTTTTTCAAAATTCTGCAATTGGATTTTCTCCATAAGACTTTTATTTCACTTATTAGAACCATTTAGAGCAATGTAATTCACCTCCAAGTTTAAAGCCAATCAAGTTATCCTTTTTGAATAACAGCACCAAATTATTTGTACAGTCCATGGAATATATTCGTCCCATGGTACAATTCCACTTGTAATCCTGCAACCCACATTACTGTGCATCATTTTTCTAATTTCTTGTACTGTATAAAAATATATTTAGTACAGGTTGTAGGTATCAAATAAATAATTGATAGAATTTTTTAGGAAGTAACAATAAACCTCACAATAAATCAATGAGTTTATTTATTAGAATTATACAGCTAATACTTTTAATTTATAATTATTAGTCTTCATGAATTTCTGATAACACACTGTAACTTTTTTCAGGTGGACACTGTGGGCTACCCCTAATGAAATGTAATATCATGTCAAAAATGACCAGAAAAATAACAATGAAGCACTAACTCCTGTTCATACGATTCCCCCAGCCCCTTCTATGTTCATCTTTGAATTCATCCATTTGTCTCATCCTCTCAATATACTCTGGATCATCATCATCCACAACTTTTTCTTTCATTTCTGCCTCCTTTTCATCATCATTCAAGTGAACTCCTGCTAAAGAAGCCTCTTGCAGACTCATACTTCCTGTGGGTTTTTTAGTTGGGTCTGGGAAAACACCATCTTGTACCCTTTTATCATAAAATTCTTGTACTGTCATTGTTGGTAGCGAAGGATAGCCAGCACCAAACACTGCTTTTTGAACCTCATCTTTTGTAATGATAATAGGTTTAAGAGGGGTGACAGGACGTTTTGGTTCGGGTTTTTTCTCATCTTGTTTCATAGCAGCCATATATTCCAATATTGGTTTTTCATTTTGTATGCTATTCAATTCATCCACCGCTTCGTGTATGTACAATTTAAGCATGGTTATAAAATAATCGCGTTTTATTTCTTCATCTGCATGTTCATTTTCAACATTCTTTTTTAAATCTGCTAGTCTAGATTTTAACTCTTTTTGTTCTTTAAACCTTTGAATTTTGTTAGCTCTTGTATTAACTGATACTTTGATTTTGTCCAGCTCAGATTTAGCTTCCTTTTCTTCCTTCTTGTTATTAAAATCGTAATTGCTCAAGCTGTAATCATTACACCTTGTTAAAAAATCTTTAAAGTATATCTCTGCCACTTCAATAATGTCTTTCCGTTCGCCGCTTGTTAATTTTAGGCTCAATGAACCTAAAAGTGCAGGGAGTAGAAAATAACGTAAGTCATTGGTGGCCACTTCTTCTATTCCTTCGTTTCTACTAAAAAGTCCAGCATATGACACTAGACGAGTGGCTTGTTCGAAAATCCCCATTGTTTTCTTTACGTTGAGCTAAAAAAGTACTAAAGTCGAACTTTCAATGCACAAACATAAAAAACATACCTGAACTGTAGGATTATTTGTTGGTTCATTACTGTTACAAATTTCATTATATAACTCCAGGCCTTCATCAAACATAGATGAAAGTGTTTCTACATTTGTATCAATTTGTGACGAATTTGCCATTTTATAAACTGTTATCGAAAAGCACTTTTCTAAACTTTGGCTTAATTACAAAAACAAAAATAAATACAAATGACAACCTTTACGTCAAAATACATAACTGCCAATCTGACGAAATGGAACTTACTGTTGCTGTTCGCGCAAACACAGCATATCATCAGTAAGGACAGCTTTTGAAACGTCCATAAGAAAAGCACGTCGAGAACAACAATAAACGACGGTTGGATAAGGACACGACCTTGAATTTTCGTTAGAAAGTGTAGTGGCGAACCTTGTTACTAAATAAAATTTACCAACATTGTCCGTCAAATGTCAAATTTGACATCTTAGATGTTTGGTTTTGCGTTATTTGTAGTCGTGTTGTGTGTAAGGTGAAATGTTTGATGTTTGGTATTTAATGAATTTTAATGAAACAGTTTTATTTATTAAACAATCAGGCGAAAAATATACAATTATGTGATGCCACTATCATCTAAATAAACACAATGAACAGAGTGGTCAATAAGCGATTACATTTACATGTCAGGTGAGTAATATTACATTATAGCTACATAATATTGTAAAACCTATTATAATTTGTGTTTTTATAGATATAATCATTCATCTATAAGTGGGTTAAAATAGCCAACTTTCGATTGCGTTTAGGTGCACTTAGTAACTGTTTATTTATTAGTTTTATTGAATAGAAAATGCGCATTCGAACAAATAAAGAAAGTAAATAATCGTGTGGAAACTGTTCACAAGGGTGTGGTATGGGCACAGCTGCGAGGGCTGCTTTTATATTTTGGCCACATGAAGGTAAAATTGAATTGATAGAGAATAGTGATGCAAATTGCTTTTCTAGCGTCGCAATATAAAAGATGAATGCTTCATGTGGCATCTTAAGGTTCCCAAATGGTGCATCATCATCAAAAGCGTTGAAATGACAGAGAAGTTTATCATCTGTGAGGACATTACATGCAACAGCAAAATTACTACATGTGTCACAGGTATGTTTCACTAAGCATTTCTTTATTAAGTACCCACAGACATAACTTAAAGAATTTTGTTCCCCCATGTCCAGATGTCTGTAATCTGTCGTATCTACCTCCACAGATTTATGTGCAGAAGTTGTTCGGCTTAAAATTGAATTTATAATTTGACACTGGTTCCTCTCTTTAGATTCGATTGCTACTAACATAGATGCGAAATCATTACAACTATTTGCACCTTCGCTGTGCTGTAAAAACTGCATGCTAAATAATTTTTTGAATGCCCTCTTAAACTGAACAGGCGTTGGGTTAAAGCAATTGCCACCCTGCTGCCTAACTGCGCCGAAGAAATTTTCAAGGCAGTCTTGATTTAATCGACGTGTACATATGGATTTATTAAGTTCCTTTTGTAGTAAAATTGTACTTTTTATTGTTATTCGCCAACAGTGTAAAGATTTTATTGTATTGGTAACTTCTCTATTTACAGAATTTAGAACCTGAACTGTTTTAAAAAAAATTAACATTTTGTTCAAAAGATTAAGCTGATAATCTTCTCCGCGAAACATATTTTTAAAAATCTCTTTTTCGAATGATGTCTTTTTTGAAGAATTTAATAAATCAAATAAATTGTTCATGTTGTGAATAAAAATCATTGTACTTGTGGCCTCCTCGGGTAAACTTTTAACTTCTATTTCAGTTGCCATTCCATTGGCAACATGCCTACTAAAAAGTTGAGAGGCTAGTTTGACCTTCATTTTTTGAAAAGCTTGCGGTCTGACGTGTGCATCGGTTAATTTAGGCGCTAATCTATAATTACGTTTTTTGTCTCTTTCATAAAATTCAATAACGTATTTATGGTGTATAATATTGCCATTTTTATCTTTGAAACGATATTTTAAAAAATTGTTCCTTAGAGCCTTTAGTAAATGGCAAATGTCAAATATATAAAATATCTTATATTGGTCGACAAAAAAATAAGGATTGTTTTCACTAACTTTCAAAATATTGGTGAAATTCACAAAATTGGAACCTACGTCAGTAATAACAGCTCTTACTTTCAAATTGATATTGTATAGTTCTCTTATCGTTTGGAAAATTAATTTTTTAACATTGGCCGCATCGCAGCTGCTTTTAACGAACACATACCCAATGGGTTGTTTCCAGTTGTGAAATATTCCGCGAGCCATTATCGTAAATACGTTATTAGCTGGCAAGTATTGTTTGTTTTCATTTAATTGCTGCAAACCAACTATTTCGTCAGCAGCAATGTCATAAAACAAGTTTGCTTTTATGCTCATTTCATCAGCACAAACCACACATTCCCTTCCCTCTTCAGGCATTGCATTGATTTTAACAGCCAAGGCTTCAAATACAATTTTATTAATGCCTGGCTGAATATTAATTTTTTCAGTACTTCTTTGCAATGTGCGGATAGTGGGAAGGAAAAATGTGTTTCTCAAAAAACGATATGCCATAGGAGACAAAAAAAAAATTGTGATGGCAAATTGCTTATACTCTTGAGAGTACCTCAGCTGTTTCTTCGTTTTTTGATTAAGCTGAACTTGTGTTTTAACTAATGCCGCTAAATTTTGCGGCAAAAGTTTATCACACAAGCTATTAAATTGTTTGATTTCTTGATCAGAGTTTGAAATTGTGTCAATTAATTCTTTCTGTTGCCTTAGTTGTTTCCGGAGCGCTTGTTTCCTTGGTGTACCAGATGACAGCGCTAATCCAGTCTGCGTTTCCACTTCCTTCATCTCACACGGATTTGTAATTGGGAAGAGTTCCTGTGTTGTGTGAGAACCCAGAGTTTGCTGTTCAATATTACTAGACTCTTCAGTTTGTGAAGTCTGTGGCTCCGCTTTAAGACTCCCGAAAGATGAAGAAGAAAACGGTACTGTTGATTGTCCTGAAATTTAACATGATTGCATTTTTTTGCTTATTACTTTTCATTTATTTAGAATCAGGCCTCGCAAAAACTCCCAGTTTACACATTGTCTTTGAAAATTGATGTGTTTCAATTTTTCACCAAATTGAATATCTATTTCATGTTTGATTTAAAGACCAAATACATATAATTTTAGATGACAAAATTTTTTTTTAATGAGGAAAAAGGAAAAACTTTGTTCCACCTTGTCCAAATGTTTAGTCATTCCTTAGTCTCAGTGAAAACAAAAACGGCACAACATGGTTTCTTACTTTTGGATTCAGCAATTTTTGTCCCAAACATATAGGAGTTTTCGCGCGTCTTGCTCCAAAGCTCTACATAGAGTTAAATTTGTTACAAAATTTTTGAGGAAAAATGGCGCAGAAACACTTTACCTATTAGTTTTGTTGGAGCAGCATCTCTTTGTAGTCGATTTTTTTGGACGTTGCAGAACATTTTATCTACAAAATGACACCCACACACCCTATAATGGGTACGCTTCTCAATCCCTTTGTTTATTAAATCTCGACGAGCACAATTCAGAGCCCATAATTTGAATCTAAAAATTGTTGCGTTTTAAGATCATAAATAGACAAATGCTATTTAAGTATGAAGATATTGAGGTGGCTGTAATTGAAAAATACCTCCTACTCGCTGCTGAATTTTGGTTTTACTAGACGACCGAGAGATCGGTAATTTTTTTTTTTCTCAACCCCTTCACACTACTAACACAGGTGTTTTTCTGTTGTAGAATTTAATAACGTCTCACACTAATCATAGAATAATATAATTTTTTATATTTCTTACCTTGCAGGTTCTGAGGGAAATATAAAGAAGCCCCTGAAGCAGGTTTTTTCATTGTGTTTGCAATCACGCACAGCACAATAAAGACGTGGTCTACCACTGCGGTTCATCTTACTGCGAAAAGGTTCTCACAATCACTTCACTAATTTCACTGACAACAAATATTCAACCAAAAACGTCAAAGTACTTCTCCCAAGGAAGACGAAAACAAGAGCGTTCACTTTCTGGCCCTTCAAACGGTTCACAATTGGTGAAAATTGAAGACATTGACAAAATAGTTGATACAGCGATTTTCTACAAAATTATTCCCGCTTAAAAGATTTGCACGATCCGCGCTGCCGCCAATTTTTAGTGCATTCAGGTAGCTTGTATTGCCACTTGTATTGGCGGTTAAATGAAATTAATTAAAGACAAAAATGTAATGATCATGGTTAGATTCATAAAATCTGTACTTACGAGCTAAAAGCGTGTAAGCACATTTTGCCAGTATTAGGATAATGAAGTAATTTTAATGTTTTCAATTTGCTTGCTATTGTAATCAGAGTTTCAAAAAATAAATGTAGTACAAATTGTAAGTGTAGTCTTCCAAACCCTGATTACAATACAAAAAAATTAGATCATTTTAACTACTTCATATTCATGATTTTGACAAAAATAGACTTTCGCTCTTAGGTTCAAAAACAATAAACGCCTTTGCTTGGACTTTTGGAGGGACATTTTGTAAATTGACTAGATTGTCAAATAAGCTTTCTAAGGAAAAAAATGAACCCTTTATTTGCAATCAATTATAGTTAAAACTTATGTGTATCCATAGAAATTATAACTATTGTATTTGCAAACATCTAAGTAAAAATTTAGAGTGCAAAGGCGGTTGACAATAACTTATCGTTAATTTTATACTTTCGCAAGAATTACAGATATTTGAAGTACTCTTGTTTAAATTTAATTTGACTCACAATTTCTTTTGTAAACATTTGCATTGATTTAGATTATTCAAGCTTTTAGCACATAAGTATAATTATGATAGATTGTGAATGAAAGGTAAAGGATCAATTGCTTAATTTAATGCTTATGTCAATAGACTACTCCTTAAAGAGTGTCATATGTTCAAAACTGTTTTTGATTGCCATTTTATTTGGAAATGCTCACAGAAATAATGTGGCATATAATCAAGACTACTTTTGAAAGTCCAAAAAGTTTTGGAGGTTTATGCTGAAATTGACTTGGTTGGTTAAGTGATGGTGTTTTTGTTTTTTTTTTTTTAATAAATAAAAGATAATACAAGCACAATTATTTTTTACTGTTCAAAATGCAATTTCATTTCAGTTTCATGTCTTCCTTCATGCCGGACTCCAAATTTTGGTTTCAATTTCTTAATATTCGTTTACTGTTTTTATCGGGTTTTTTTTACGTTGTCGTATGGATGAGCTGTGTTCGTAATTTAGGCAACCAACATTTTACTTCTTTTCAAAAACCCCGCCTGATAAAGACGGTTGGATAAGGACACGTTGTTCCAATATTTGACGAGCTGTCTTTACTGTATTAGTATACTGTGGCGCAAACTACATTGGTTTCCCAGAAAAGATAACAAATAAACGCTTTCCTTCAAAAATATTCTTTTGAAGTTAATTTTGGTTCTTATTTATTTTTTTATAAATTTACCACATAAGATTTTCGCTCCATTATTAAACGAATTATCCCCAATATATCGCTCAAAATCCCCAAAAAGTTTCCAACAATTTGACGTTTGACGTTTCGGATTTGTGATTTGTGCCGATGTCAAAATGGCAGGCACAATAGTGCGTATAACAAATGCAGCACGAAATCACTACGGTACATTTCATATACCTATTCATTTTCACTTATTTGTCTTTTCCTACTTTCATAAAAAATAAATTTGTCGTAAATACCATGGCAAGTGAACATAACCTCACTTACGTTACATAATGTTCCAGGATTTTTAGCTGCAAACTGCAGCAATGTTCAAGCGGCACTCCTTTCGACACTTCCCCCTGGAACACCCCCACCTCAAACCAAAACAACATTTGGCCCTCTTGCTGACGAAGACCGCATTTTCACAAACTTGTATGGCAAACATGACTGGCGCTTGAAAGGTGCCTTGAAAAGGGGCGACTGGTATAAAACTAAAGAAATTCTGGTCAAAGGGGCAGACTGGATTATCAGTACGTTTAATTTTTGTCAATTGAGACCTTCTAAATGGTCCATTTTTAGATGAAGTTAAAACATCTGGTCTTCGTGGCAGAGGAGGCGCTGGCTTCCCTTCAGGAATGAAGTGGTCTTTCATGAACAAACCCGGAGACGGTCGTCCTAAGTACTTAGTCGTGAACGCTGACGAAGGAGAACCTGGCACTTGCAAAGATAGAGAAATTATGAGACATGACCCTCACAAACTTGTTGAGGGCTGTCTGATTGCTGGTAAAGCTATGGGGGCTAAAGCGGCATACATTTATATTAGAGGAGAATTCTACAATGAGGCGTCAAACATGCAAGTTGCTATAGCAGAGGCTTATCAAGCCGGATTATTAGGGAAAAATGCTTGTGGTTCTGGCTATGATTTTGACGTCTATATGCACCGCGGTGCTGGTGCTTATATTTGTGGAGAAGAAACGGCTTTGATTGAGTCTCTTGAAGGAAAGCAGGGCAAGCCTAGGCTCAAGCCCCCTTTTCCAGCAGATGTGGGGGTGTTTGGATGCCCAACAACTGTTACTAATGTGGAAACTGTGGCTGTAGCACCTGTAAGTACAAAAGCTTTCATGACAACTCAACATTTGAAGATATTTTGAAATGAAAGTTGCTGAAAAGGTACAGTTTTGTGTAAATTTGTTGACATCAAATTTGACAAAATTTGGTTTCGAAATTTAACCAAAGCAAAATTTTTGTATTGGAAATGATAGTTTTTTAGTATTTATTTTAAAAGAACGACGCGTAGTATTTATGAAACAATAATATCCATGTGTAACACAGACGCAATTTTTTCTAGAAAAAATATTTTTTCTATTTTTAACTAACTGCGTTGCATGGTTCAATGAATAGTCAAAATTATAAATACTGCACTAGCAACAGGGAGAATAATTAAACTTTTCACTTCTGAAGACCATGTGATTGAAAATTGTTGCATTAATTTTTTGGCGAATGATTAATCATATTAATGTCTCTTTTAAAATATCTAAAAAAGCAACTAATATCATGATGCCACAACTGTGACGTCACCGACAAAGAAAAATCTAACTTGTTGCTCGACTGTAGCCCCCGTAAAAACTAAATGACGTGTCGACCATGTTATAAAAAATATCAAATTTATTCCCGATTTTTTTATCTAGTTTATTGCAGCCGTTGCGTACTGACTATATAATACGTGACAGTACCAGTTTGCGATTGCTCTATCGTGCGTAAAAAAATTCCGTTCATTGCGGCGTATTTTCTTCCTTGGGAATTCTTTACTTTTCTTCCTTTAGAGCGAAACACAAAAAGGACAGTGCATTATTGTTAGAAAAGTAGACAAAAAAATCGTATTGTAAAAGTAGGAAATGCCTCGTAATTTTGTATTGGAGCCATAGAGTTGATATAAGTTTGGGATTATTATGCGTTATTTTTTGTCATCAGTCAGTCATGTGATCTCTACTGTATCAAATCAAATCACTTAAAGATTTGTTTAATACAACATTTATAGATCGAAGTCGTTACACATCCCAAAATACCACAAAGTGTATGAAAAACAGGCTAGTGCCAGTTCATTACATAAACAATTGAATATTTTTTACCCTAAGTCGCAGTACAGAGTGCGAATCACAAAATAGATACACAACGAATAAAATATTAGACAAAATCATACGGATTAATAAGACTTATCAAACATTCATTTACGCAGGATTATTTTGAAAATTATTCATTTCTACGCCAGAGTCACATGACTGTAATAAATCCTGTTGAATAACGAAAGTTTCTTAATAGCTTTTAGTCAGAAGCTAGGTCCTTAGGAACGATCATGAAGGCCGTCAATTTTTGGTGTAAAGATTTAATAATGATATTAAAGTGTGGAACGTGTAAAAATTGCATTCTACTGTCATATAACCTGGATTCGCCCATTCCCGGTTTTATGAGTCGTAAAATATATCTCAACTAATCTTCGGGTAAATTCTTGTGATGCAACCTGTGGTTAAGCCATAAATTACCACCGTTTGGGGCCGATGAGATAAATATTTTAGCTTGTCTAACTTTACGAAAATTGCTTTTACTCCCTATATTTTTTTATTAAAATTTATTATACGTTTTACTTTATATTTTAATATGTATTAAAAAATTGGTCTCGTGTTATTAGATAGAACTTCCCTCGCCCCGTAAGAGAAAAAAATATATGTTACTATAATCCTATAATCCTTCAGGCATTGAAATGACGATATGATAAATGAAACCCAGAACGGTATGTCCATTAAAATTTTGTGATGGTATTATCAAGTAGTGGGGTTAGTGACGATTGTAAAATGACTCGTGCCGGTTAGGCTTGGACAAAAATGTGGGATTATAATATAGCTTATAACTGAGGGATTTGGGGCCCAACGAAAAGAAATGGTTAAAAATTCTTTTGTCATTTTTGACATGTAACTGCTTGTACTTACGTGATTACTACTTGCTGAGAGATCACTCCAAATCATTTCAATTTGATTAAAAATAGGAAGTATTTGATCTCAGTGTTTGAAAAGTAACGAAACGTCGCTGTATAGAAGTTAGTCTGTACACTAATTAATAATTGCTGTTTTGTTGTTGCTACTGAAGGAATATGAACCTTTTTCGAATTTAAGAAACTAACTTTCTTCTTGTTGAATTTGCCATTTTTTAGGTAGTCCGGATCACAATGCGTTGGTTCAGACTTTTTTATTGCTTCGACTTCCGCTTATTAAATAAAACATTGAATTTTATTTTGATTTTCGATATTGTAATTATAACTTGTCTAGGACTAGAGGAGGCAAAAATTTCTCTAGGAGAGTCTCAGCTTTCCCTGGGCTGTTCCGAGTATTAAGTCGCCTGTTAGACTCAGTTACTTCCTTAGCTCACGCGCAATAAGCAAAAATGACCTCTCAACAATAACTAAAAGTGTTTATGTTTATACATCGAAAGAATGCATAGAAATTAGTTTGATTTGAATGAGTTTGTCGCCTCAAAACACAGGATTAAAATTCTTAATTAAGCCACAATCGAACAAAATGTGCTGAATATTAATATTATAATTAAATTATTAATAATGAATTATTAAATACGGATGTGCATATAAATTGTTTCATTCATTATCTTTTTTTGTGTCACCCTTTATATGCAGTTTTAAAAAATATGAAAGAAATGATAAATCACAAGTATATACTCGTTATATTTTGCACATTTTCGATAAGATTTACTGTAAAATTTTGAGATGACATTAATTTTTTGGAGGGATAAATAGATATATTTTACGATAACTTTAAAATATCTACAAAATTTCAAAACATTCGGTTTTGCAAAAATATAAATGTTGAGTCACAAGTATAGACTCATCATATTTGCACATTGGCGTTTTTCCACCTACACATGATATTCATAATACACATATAAAATTTGACAACAATCGGTCCAGTAGCTTCGGAGATTATCAGCCTAACAAACATCGTCACGGACGGGGGACAGAGAGACAGACAGACAGACAGACAGAGAGATGGTCGGAAACAGGAGATCCCTCATTTCCCGGTACTACAACAACAATACTACTTAGAGAAATTATTGTTTTCACTTAAAACACTAACAACCGTCTGAGCTACAATAAGGTAAAAATGATCAGTGACTATTAATGATCGAAGTAAATTTTTGAGTTGGCAGTTGTGAATTATTTGCAGTAATGTTAGCATATCAGTCCACAGTTGTCAAAGTTTTAAATATGTTGTCAACCTGTTAAAAAAAATCACAAACATCCATAGTCACTCGATATTTAAATTTATTTCAAAGAAACCCTTAAAAAGACACAATTCACCTTTGACTCCGATTTTTTTTATGCACATGAAATGCCGAAATAATATTAACACTATTAGATTATAAATACGGTAGGTAACCGAAAAACAAATTTCTTCAAATTGAAACGTTTCTTTGTTCATCATCCCTTGTTTCTTTGTTGATATACATATGCAGGAATCCCAGATAAAACTCCGTTATCCTTACATCTTGAAAACGGAGGTTGTTACGATTTTTGATGACAATTAGCAGGTTGACAACTAAGAAAATGAAATTACTGGTATTCCGCTACCAACTTTTTTTTTTTTTTTATTTATTTATTTATTTGCGCATCTATTTCGATAACAATATATGGCAACTATATTTACTATCTCTTCATTTGAATAATTTATATTATTTACAGTAAAACTAATGCAATGTAAGTATTTTATACTATGGTTTTAATTTAATGATCTATGATAATCCTTTAAAAAAATATATGTTGCCACTTAAAAAAATGTAGGTTTACGTAGAGACGCCGCTTCAAGCTAAAACAATTATTGCGTTTACAAAATTGCAGAATTTCTGTCCGTTCTCATGATATAAGACCCAGGAGTTTTATCAGGGGTACCTACATATCTACTGAGTTGCAAATAAATTATAAAAGATAAAAGTAAATGTTACGATCTTAAGTTGAAAGCAGTGGCGGCTCGTGACTGTCTGATGTGGTGAGGCGATGATAGAAGTTTGACAATAATAGTAATATTACTTGGTCTTACTAGTTAGTAATGATAGAAGTCTTGCCTGAATACCGGTCATTCCCGGGTCAGTCATCCATAACACATTGAATCAACAATGTTTTTACAAGTCAAAATTTTGTTGAAAGTAGCACTTTCTTGGAGGGATTCGGGAATAGTTGTTGTGTTCTTTTCTAAACGTTTTAAGCCCATGAAATTTTTAATGTGTACTTTGAAACTTTCATGCAACTTTGCACTTCGGATGAAATTCTTTAAATCGTTATATCCCGGGATGTTGTGTAAATATTACGGCAGAGCCATTTATATGTTTCGTAGGTACCAAGTTGATTTAAAAGACTTGGAATACTGACGATTCTGTCGCTTATCAATGGAAGCTAAATGAATTAACGGTTTTGACTGCTCGATATTTAGCAAAATTTACCGACGTTCTAGCTCGGTTCGCCGTGAAAACGGCGTTTCAAGAAGCAACATGACGATATCGTACTCGGGATTAATTTTTCACTCACCTATGAAACAGACAATAACACAAAACACCAACACGTGGGTTTTTATTCACGTTCATGCTAATTACCCACGCACCCCGCAACCCTGCCGTTCTGTAAAATAAATGGAAAAATGGTTTAAAGAGTACGTCGAAATTAGCCGAGAAGCACCGAAGATATCGCCTCAGTTCCGAGCGAACGCATGTATAGGAGTATAGGAGCTAAGCCATTCAAATCCGTGTCTGTGATTGGGCTTCGCTGGTTCAAGTGAACCGACGTCCTGGCCGCTTCAGTTAAAGAACTCGGGGCATAAATCGTACGGTATTCAACGAAAAATGTCAGCAGGAAGCGTAAAAAATAAAAAATCATGTACATATTTCCCATTTCAACATATTTTTGTAACTAAAAATGCATTGAAAACTCTTTTTTTAATTATAAATTAAGTCAATTTGTTCTTAAGATATATGCTGTGAGGCGCCGCCTCACTTGCCTCATCTGACGAGCCGCCACTGGTTGAAAGATATAAGACTTTATGTGAGTTTTCAACGATTAGTTTTATGATTAACCGGAAACAGTAAATAATCACAATTTTGTGGTTTCAGTTTAATAATAAATAATCAGCCCAGAATGTAGATTTTTGTAAACATAGGTATTCAGATCTTTGCGATTTTACTATCGGAATACATACATTTAGCATTAAAAAAAGTGTAATAATTGGAGGTTTTAACAGAAAAACTATGTTCGTAAAAGTTAATTTTAATGTTATTCTTGATATAGATGTATATTTTTTAACTTTTAAAAACATTTGTCCAGAAATTTTCTATTCCAAAACTTCCACTCATAGTTGTATTCATTTGGCAATAAAATTATTACAGAAAGTCAAGGTAACAGCGTTACGTTATACCTGGAAAACTAATTTAATTTTCGACATCGGAAAATGACCCATATCGCTTCGAAAAAACTGTACCATTTCAGTAAAGTGATACGAAAAAAATCATTAACAACTACAGCAAAAAATGTGACCTTATACGTCGGTTACAACACTAAATTGCGTAAACAACTGTTAATTTCCCCACGGTACGGAAAACTGGATTCCCATTTTTTGCTCAAGACACTCGTTGTTCACTATTACGGCAATATTTAACTATGTACAAGTCCAAATTCTCCGTTTTCAGACCATATGCCGCCGCGGAGGAACTTGGTTCGCATCTTTCGGCCGAACTCGAAATTCGGGAACCAAACTCTTCAACATATCCGGACACGTTAACCGACCTTGCACCGTCGAGGAAGAAATGAGCATCACTTTCAAGGAGTTAGTAGAACGCCATGCTGGAGGCATCTTGGGCGGCTGGGACAACCTGTTGGCTATTATCCCAGGAGGTTCGTCGACACCTTTAATCCCTAAGAGGTAACTCAACCTTCGCGTCTAATTTTATCACATATAAAACGGAATTATTACTTTCAGTGTTTGCGAAGACGTCATAATGGATTTTGATGGGCTAGTTGCTGCGCAAACCAGTTTAGGAACGGCAGCTATTATTGTCATGAATAAGCAAACTGATATTGTTAAAGCCATTGCAAGATTGATTATGTTCTATAAACACGAGTCTTGCGGCCAGTGCACCCCGTGTCGGGAGGGCATCAACTGGATGAACAAAATCATGTACAGATTCGTAGACGGGAATGCCAAACCAGAAGAAATAGATATGTTATGGGAATTGAGCAAGCAGATTGAAGGACACACGATATGTGCATTAGGTGACGGTGCCGCCTGGCCTGTTCAAGGACTCATCAGACACTTTAGACCCGAATTAGAAGAAAGGATGCGGAAGTTCCACGGACAAGAAAGGAGCGCCGCTCAATGCTAAGTCTTAGAATTGTATTTTAGGTATTTTTAAAGCGAGGTATATTAATTATATTACTTTTAAGTATTTATGTCACAATGTTCAAGGGTTTGATTTTGTATGCTTAAATTCATCTTGTCAGCACACCAACAGGAACACGAACTGGGGAGCTCTTAACATCTTAAAACCTGTGGTGTGTTGGCATTTTGTGAATTTTTACTCTCTTTATTGTTAGTGTATATAATTACGTGATAAGAAAAATAAAACTATAGATGGATTTTACTGTTGATTTTTATTGCAAACAGGTGCGCATGATGATCAAGAGGCAAAATTGTTTGAGTTCATGTGATTTCAAATATACCGTGCGAGTCGTGTTATTTAAATCTGGGATTAGTTACAAATTTAGTATTGCGATATCTACACATTTCGTAGATTTATTTATAATAAATGCTATGCATTTTCAATTATAATTGAAAAAGTGTATTTGCAAATGTTAGTGTTACATAAATCGCAAGAATTGTGTAATACCCTTTCCAGTTACAATAAAAATGAAGTATGCACACATGTTCGACACATTTCTTATGACTGTTCAATATCAAAAAGTAACATATTTTTCAGTTGAAGGTAATTCGTTAGGTAACGTTCATACATTGTTGCATACACTACATAGTTACTTATTATTTGCTGAGTCTGTTATGCGTATTGTGTGACAGGTGTAGTTGGTTTACGTTTTAATATCTCAGTATTGTGTAAATGAAGCTTACATTATTATGTTTAATATTTGCTAGACTAGACCAAGGCTCTACACGGTTAAACTAAAAGTATCCGTTTATTAAATTCATATTCATTATTTTTTATCGGATTTCTAGTTGGAGATAAAACCATAAAAAAGATCATGGAAGTTTGCACAGAACTGGTTGTATCACGCATGGCGATTATCTTAATTGTTTCTTTAAGTCACGTGGTGACAATTTCCAACTTTTGTAGTTTGCATTACGGTGCAAATAGCTTGATGAACCATGAATCAGCCTATTTTGCAGGTGTCGGGTGAATGGCACTTTTATATTTTATTTTTGCTTTTAAGTACAAAAGTAAGTAAATATAAATATTGTTTACGAAAGAGAGCAAATAAACAAGCTGTTAATGAAGCGGGTGACGATGCGACAAACAGATCTACTATTGACGAGTTTATTAAAACAGGCATTCTTCACACGGCTAATTCAAACATCCCCATGCATATAATAAAACCCACGAAAAATTTAAAACTGGACCGTGAGCTGTGGACATCAACTAAATGAAACCTACGTTGTGTTTTTTTAATGGTGGAATGCATTCAAATATGTACAAACCATATGCTGAAGGGGCTTATACATTTATCTACAAAAAATTAAATGTTACAAATCGATACAAATACCGAGCACTGATACATACTTAAGAACATTAATCAATATATCGAGTGACTATTAATTTTCATGTCAGGTTGGCAACATATTTAAAATTTTATGATGGCATACTTTATTGTTAAACTGACATTTATGACACTAAGTGAGTACCGAAAGTTCCTATATTAGCAGACTTAAAACGCTAAAATTTTGTAGAAATAAATAAGGCATAAAATCAAACAATTTTCAACAAAAAAAATCATGTGTCTAGCTTCAGTAGTTTAGACTCTGCGTTGATGAATCGGTCAGTCAGGACCACGGTGTGAGGACAAACACTTTTATACAGGTGTTCAAAAAATTGCGCATTAATCTATGAATAAAATAAAAATTCTTTGTCTAAATGTAGAAGATACAGCGCTTCAAAGTTTAATTTTTCTTTTCGAAATTTCACTATATTTTAATTCACTATTTTGTGTTGGGTACCTGGAATCGATTGGACTTGCATTACTCGAAATAATTTTGGGGTATCTTGTTTTTATACAACATTTTTTCAAGTCTTTTCTATTTCTTGACCAACATAATTTTAGTTGGATAACCTTTCTTGGACGCTGATGTTAAAAGGTCGCTTATACCTACCTGTGTGGCCCATCAGGTAGAAGCTCTTGAAAAATCCTGTCCATTACTGTATGGGTGACCTCAAATGGCATTTAAATAACTATTTAGTCATAAAATAATTTATTTTATAAAAAAGAATGATACAGTGCCCATCATAATAAATACTTAATGAGAGTTTCATTTACACCTAAGCAGTGCTGCAACCTATAAAGAAATGTCTATTGTATGCACAAAAATATTTCCTGGGAATTCCTAACATTCTCTAAAAATTCTTTCTCGTAAATAATTGAGAACAACGAAGGTGTTTTACAACTCATCATTCTGACCATTTCAATGGGAATCCTTGGTTTAGTCACCGGCATATGGGGCAATGAATGATGAGGCAGACCACCAGCTTGAAAATAAACATTTTTCGCTACTTTGTCAACAGAATCTGCCTTCTAAATTTCCCTGAATTTTTAAAGGATCAATAATTTTTGTTGCCAAAATAGCACGCCGTGATCTCTGAGGCTTTTGAGCATATTTTTCCATAAAAATATGACTGATATCGCTCCAGTAACCACAGTTTTGTCTGTTCATAGAATCATTTGCATAAAAATTGCTCCAATTTATTTCCGCTCCCCTTAAGTGCGCTACTGTTACGTTGACCGGTGAATAAAGTCGGCGTTGGTTAAACTCAACAATTTTATTTCTTAATAACTCAAATTTACACCACTAACTATACGGTTATGTACAGAATAATTCCGACTCGACTCGACTTCTCGAAGGTCCCCGTCACCGCTTCTAGGCTTGTTCTCGAACACCCGTCGCGTCATCCGCTTCCAGGCTCGTCACCGGTCGGCGTCACCGACAATGAGTCATCATCGTTTTTGTGATAAGCTCTTCAAATATATACATAACACCGGCCACCGTGTAAGAAAAAAAGAAAGACCCATGCTCTAAGGCAGGATTTCTCAAACTCAGAGTCGCGCTTTCGGGTGGGGTAATTTTTAGGATAGTGAGCTGTTTCCGTAGAAATAAAAAAAATGTAAAAGCGGGGGCATCAAACAGCGTCCTTACTGAATATTCGGGTGAGGCAGTTACTGTAACCATTTGACCACAAGTTGCCCACTCTGACTCCGTCTGAGTTTAGGCTTTATGTGAGTCGTTTGTTGGAAGTTTTGCAGGTAAGAGGTTTTCGGTAATACTGCTGCATACTCAGAACTGCTTTAAACACATTTTTGTATTTGAGACATACTTAACTACAACTAAAAGAAGTTCATTAAATCAGCAAAACGTTTCAGATAATCATTTTAATTGAAAACAGTGGTCTTTAATGTTTAAGTTTATTGCGAAGTGTTTCTTGAAATTTTGATTAAATTAACTTTGGAATGTTCTTAATGTTCAAACGAAGTGTAGCAGGGTTTTTTTTATTAAACCTTCATTTCTTGTTTTCTGGACATTCCCCAGTTTATGGAGTGAAAATATTGATTTTCCGTTTCCGTCTATCTGTTTGTTTGCGACTATTCTCCGAAACTCTTTCCTTTGGGTGTATTTTGAGTCTGTTATATAGATTTTTTTCTGTTCATCTTGACCAAGAATCGAATGATGTAAATCTAAAATTTGCTTACAATTTATACTTATTACGATTTCAAAACTTTTTCTGATTAATATTAGTATTTTTTATATTTTATCTACTTATTAAACCTGTGTAATGTTGAATTGCAGCGTTATTAAAATTAGTATGTAGCTATAAAGTTGACCTGAATATTTGTTTTCAGGTGGGAAGAAAGTCCTGTCTAAATGACTTTAGACCGATTTAGACGTCATCAAATTTTCGTCAGCGTTTTACCATCTAAATTCTACACATACTCGTAACACATATCTAAAAACATATACCTAGGCGGAAACGGGGGACCTGTTTTTTCGAACTCTGGGAGTCACGAAACATCCAGAAAACGTGGCCGGATGGACCCTGTTACAACATATATATTTCCTTAGTTTACGCTCGGGACATCCCTTAAACAAGTCTTATTTAAAATAATTTTGTAATAATTAATAATCGTTTTCGGTGATGTTGTCTTTGATGAAAATGAAACTTGTGCAGTTCTAATACTCTTTGGATGTATTTTCTTGCCATTTCTCCAGCAACACTGAACTGTCAGGTTCCAAAATATTTCATTGGATTCCTCCGTTCACACTAATGATTTATTCGGTTTATTAATATTTATTTTATTTACCACCCACCGATCCAGTTTCACTATATTTTTGCATCAATCCCAGCATATCCTAACAGTAAAACTAATCATACATAAATACATGACTGCACTGTATTAACCAGTTTCTTATTTACGCGACACGTTTTTTGTCAGGATGTATATCATTAATTTATTAAATGGCTACTCTTGTACACTCCCCGTGAGAAAATAATCTCAATTTACTTCCTCGTCTTGTGTAGGTCCACTATTTTGCTATTACTTTAAGTGGTCAAAATTTTATAGTCCACAATATTATAAAAAATTATCAAATAATTCCACTGCTTTTGATAAAAAGCTAAACATTGTCTTTGGAAAATTTGTATTTCCTAAGCATTCTACGTCTTTACCTTCTTTTATCAAGTTTTAACCAAATTCTGTCTGTGGTTTTTATAATTTTGAAAATGAATAAGCAAGATCATTTATTTTGTAAGATCATGATCAATTTGGTGAAAATCCAGATACATATTATTTGTATGTATAATTTCGTTCTTGTGCTTCGATTAGTGGTTCACTATTCTGTGCTACATGTGGGATTATTCGTTCAACACCTCCTGCGATTGCATGACTTTTACATTTCTCAGTACCAAAGGACGTTCATATGTCTAATATTATTATTAGATTATTACTATATTCGATATAATATTCATTACACGTTACTAAGTAAGTAGATATCTGTTGTTTTCAGTGGGTCACGATATTTCACGAATACGCCTTTTTTAAATTCCCTGCAAGACTTGGTAATGAACAAAAATCTCTAGGCAATGTGTATGTTGGATGTTGCAAAGCAAATATGGCGGAATGCGTTCTTCAATATATATAGCATGGACGAATGACTATTTCCTCTACATATGGAGTGACGACGTGGAAATTACATGAAAACATAAAAAAATCAATGTTAAGAAAATTATTGACTAGCTTGTAAACATATTTCACGTCAGTGCAGTGCTTTCTTTCGTTCCTTAAATGTCAGTCATTGATTATTTGATTAATGTTGGAGAGCATGGCATTGAAAAGAGAAAACAAAACAACTGCACTTTTTCGCATTAGA